TAGCTCAAGAGGCAGTGAGTGGGCAGAAACTGATGCACAGGAAGTTCTACCTTAATATGAAGAAGAACTTCTTTACTGTGCAAGTGACTGTGCACTGGAACAGATTGCTCAGAGAGGTTGTGGAGTCTCCCCTACTGGAGATACTCAAGAACCATCTGGATACAATCCTGTGCCATGTGCTCTGGGATGACCCTGCCTGAGCAGGGAGATTGGACCAGATAACCCACTGTCCTCCCTTCCAACCTGGCCCATTCTGTGATTCTGTGAAAAAGCAAAGTGGTGTTGGCTAATGAAACCCTGATGCAAACAGTTCATCGCCACTGCCACCCAGAGTGCTGCATGTGCTCAGCAAAGCCTCCCAGCTCTGGCCCCAACAGCCACTGGAACTGCTCCCTGGGCAGCTTGGGGTCACCCCATGCCCTCACTACATCCCTTTGGGATGTGGGTGCTCCAGGTACCTGCACCTGCTGGCACCTGCCTGCCCCAAATGGCCCAGGGGGCGTCTGGGACACCAGTCCCTGCTGCCCCAAGCTCTTATGTGAAAGTGGGATATCGTAGGTCAGGCTCAACACAAGTCTTGACTCAGCTTTGGGGCCACGCTTCTAATTTGGCTACATCTTTCTGCTGAGCATAGGAAAGGTGTAGGAGCATAACCGTGAGTGTTAGGTTCTCTCTGGCAACAGGGGACTGACATCTGGACCTTTTATTTGCACCAGGTTTCTCTTTGTTCCCCTGACAGTAGTAACAGTACATGTAACAAAAATGCTTCCGGAAAAGTGTATGAAGGAACAGAAGTCTATTTTAGGTAAGTGTCTAGAACTGCTGAAAATATTTTTCATCGCATCCTTCACCCAGCATAATTTCAACATGAACAAACACAATGACACTGAAGATACAACTGGAGCTGTTCTGGTACCGCCACTGTTATTTAAAATTCGTTTATTTTTAAATATCTGAAATCATGATATTAATTGATTGATTTTATAACAAAGTAGTTACAAAATTTTAAATAAAAAAAGTTATATGGTGTACTGCTGAAGATTCACTGCCAGCGATTACAACACAGTGCTCTCAGCCCACAGAGCCCCTACTCCCAGCAGTAGTTTATGTGAGAAGTGCTGCAGATAATGAGAAATATAAATGTCTTCTCGAATGCTAGAGTTATTTGATAGTTCTTGTTGTTAGGCAGAGAAAAGTTGCAAAAGTCATCTAGAAAGAAGTTGTGGGTACAGCCAAGTTTGCCATCCCCTGTGTTAAGGAAACTTCTCTGTCCAACCACTCTGGCACTCTGGCAGTCAGACTCGAGGGACTGAGGCCCCTTCACAGCTACACCCCCCACACTCACAGTCAGACCAGGTTTCCTCACAAGCTTGACCCCAGGTTTCCCATAGTGCAGTCTCAGACATCCAGATCCTTAAAATAATTTAATCTTGGTGCAATAACTAAATAAGAAAATAACAGCTAGTTGATGGTGTCTCCGAGGAGGGACCCTGAACAAAGAGACCCCTGGGCTTTTAGACCCTCATGGTCTAAGGAAGGGCAAGTCTGGGGGTCGTCGGCTCCTGCCCTGTTGCTGAGTGTCTGGTCCCCTGGATGGGCCACAGGTCCAGTGCCCTTTGTTAGGCAAAAGGTCAACAGTTCACAGCCCCTTGCCTCGGGCTGGGGCTTCTGCAGCCCCAGAGCTCAACCTGCAGCTGGCACTGCAGCTGCACACCGAGCTACCTGCACTGAATGTATTCTTTAACACCCTGGACACAAGTTTTCAGTATTTTACATGGCTTCATCCTGAGGCAACATGCCTATTGTAATGGAGAGCAGCCCTTATGCCTTTGCCAGCTGGAAGCCTGTTGAGCCTTAGTCGGCCAACAGCCTTTGATGTAATTAAATGATTCTCCCTCCAAAGCATTTTTATCTGAGCCAAATTATAGACATTAGGGTAGCAGCAACGTTGGCTTTGCCAGCCAGGACTAAAATTAGGTTGCATGATTTATCTTACAACTTGTTTGGGTGCTGACAAATAGTGTCAGATCTCTGCATGGATTCCCTGAGCTGCACTTATGTGGAGGAGAAAAGCCGGAGGAGAGAACATCAGGAGGGTGGAAGTGTGTCACCCTTGCTTCATCACTGCTGTGTTCTTTTTAACATGTCAGTGCCACCCTGCTAGGAAGAAGGATGTTCTGTGAATTCTACAGCTATCAAATTTCTTTTTAAATAAAAACATATTTAAAGTTCTTTTCCACTAGAGGGGACTGGCTTCTCTGGTACAGCAAAATACAAGTTGAGTATGATTTCTGCCTGTATAACACATCAGCAGAGGTAAAGATGGGGAAAGAAGAGCTAAAGGGTCATGGATATAAAATAGGGCCTGTGTGAATTTTTAGGCTGGAAATTGCAAATCTTCTAACTGAATGTCCTGAAAAATCATGTCAATGGGAACATCATGGGGCAAAAACTATATTTTTAAAAGCTGGAGCTTGATAATTTTTAAGTCATGTCATAATGAAGTTTTTGGTTAGAAAAGACTGCATTCATTAAACCAACTGATCATTTTTCAGCTTGCAATTTTCTCCAAGCAAATGACTTTCGTGTGCTTTTCTCTAAACATACAGTATTTCAAAATGTAAAAAACAAAATCTCTTTGAAATTCATGACTCTTTGATGATGAGGTTCAATTTCCTGTATTGTTTGCCTTAACAAGAGAAAAGCAAAAAGGAGCAAAATTGAAAGTATCTTTTGGGATTTGAGTTCTCCCATGAAAAAGCCTTAATTTTTGTAAGGCTTCTGCAGCTAAGTGACAAAAGCATTTGTGTGAATACAACCTACCTGAAAGGAGATTGTAGCGAGGTAGATGTTGTTTTTTTCAAGTAGCAAGTGATGAGAGGAAATGGCTTCCGGTTGCACCAGGGAAAGGTTTAGACTGGATATTAGTAAAAATTTCTCCACGGAAAGGGTGGTGAAGCAGCGGAGCAGGCTGCCCAAGTTAGTGGTTGAGTCACCACCCCTGAAGATATTTAAAAGGTGTGTAGGATGTGGTGCTCAGGGACAGGGTTTAGCAGTGGTGTTGGCAGTGCTGGGTTAGCGGTTGGACTCCATGTTCTCAGGGGCCTTTTGCAGCCCGAATGGTTGTGTTTGTAGTTAAGCACAGCACTGGCACTAGCGTTCTGCAACCTGAGGTTGGATTATTTGACAGACTAAAGCCCATCGAATCACGGAAGGTGTGTGTTCGGCGACTGGCAGCGGACTGATGAGGTGCCCTTTCACCTCCGCTGCGGACAATCCTAGAGCTGAGCTACTGGCTGCCACACATCACAGAACCACGGCACAGTGAGAGTTGGAAGGGACCTCTGGAGATCATCTAGTCCAACCCCCCTCCCAAGGCAGGGTCCGATAGTGCGGGTGACACAAGAACGTCTCCACGCCGCTTCCAGATGTCTCCAGCGAGGGAATCCCGCGGCGCCTAGCGACCCCGCCCCAGCCGTGCGGCTCCCAAGCGGCACCGCCCTCGCCTTCGCCCCCTGTCCCAGCCCCGTGAGCCGCGCCGAGGGCAGGACTTCCCCGCGCGCGCGGTCGAGGGCAGGAGCCCGGTTCCGGCGGTGTTCCCCCGCTGGGCAGCGCTGCTGATGCTGTGGCCTCTGTGCCTCGCCCTGGGCGCCGCGGCGGCGGCCCGCGGCGGGGCCGGGCCGCCGAAGCGCCGAGCGCAGCGCGGTGTGGGGGCCCGGGCTGCGGGCCCAGGCGGCGCTCCCCGCACGGTACTTCTACGTGCAGGCCGTGGACGCCGAGGGGCAGAGGTGAGGGCGCGACGGCTTTCCAGGGACATTGGGGGCTGTCCGGAAGGCTTGGGGGTTTTCTTGTGGAAAGGGCAGGCTGAAAGATCTCGACGTGACTTTTTTCTGTATATCACTTAGTGAAAACTAATTATTTTTTTCTATGATTATCACATAACTTCGCGATTTGCAGGGGATGAGATAAGAGGATGAAAATGTTCAGCAGCAAAACATACATGTTAGTCCAACCAAAAATTTATTATTTATTCTCCTTTGTCAAAACTTTAACAGTGACAAATACATTTAATTTATTATGTTCAGGCATCCAGCTTGTTTCCATTGTTGGGAACATCAGTATTTCTCCTACATGTGTAGGCATGAGATCAGTAGAGTCATTTACTAATTACTCCATAGTCCATTAGATAAAACTTCATAGGAATGAAATAAGACGAGGAGCAATAGCCATAAACTAAAACACAAGAAGTTCCACCTCAGCGTGAGGAAGAACTTCTTTACCTTGAGGGTGGCAGAGCACTGGAACAGGCTGCCCAGGGAGGCTGTGGAGTCTCCCTCTCTGGAGACATTCCAAACCCACCTGGACACATTCCTATGTCACCTGCTGTAGGTGACCCTGTCTTAGAAGGGGGGTTGGACTAGATGGTCTCCAGAGGCCCCTTCCAACCCTAAGTATTCTGTGATTTTGTGATTTTCAGAGGACAGTCATGGCTTCCCATTTCTAAAGAGAAGAAACTCTGATTGTACAGCCCAGGTAGGAGCTTGGAATGCTCCATCCAGTCATCCAGATTAGATGCACCATGGCTTGTGTCAGTCCAGAAGCTGCCAGTTCAGTTTATCATGAAAAGTAAATATTTCCTGCCTTTCATTGAACTGCCAGCTCCCTGGTATGTCCGGACAAGTTAAGGTAACCAGGCTGTTGGGCTGTAGTCCAGCTACTTAGTAGTAACTTAGTCCAGCTAGTCCCACCACCTCTTTCTCTATCCGAGGCTCTCCGTAAATATTTTGGACTATGTTTAAAGGGATGAAAGAAAGGTGGAAGAAAGTTGGCAGATGCAGCTTTTTGACTGCACCAGCTTTGTTTGTACCTCAGTGATATGTGATAACTTCAGATGATTTTTCAGATTACTATATTTGGTTTTATGGAGATTTTTCTGTGTTTGGTATATGGTGAATTTTACCAAAATATTATAAGTACACACTGAATTACATGATCCCACTATAATGTTTTTTCCCTACTGAGACAATGGAATTTTTAGTATTCTTTCCCCCCCCCCTTGTATGAGCTACCGTAATGATTAAGATGTTTAACTTTATTCTTTACTTCCTTAAATAATACCTGGAAAATAAAGTAATCTGAAAATATTTTGCATCTGAATGTAAAATAACAGACTTATTAAGCTGCTAAAGTGAAACTTGTTTTAGTATTTTTTTATATAGAATCATGGAATGGTTTGGGTTAGAAGAGACTTTTAAAGATCACCTCATTCCAACCCCTATGCCATGGGCAGGGACACCTTCTATTAGACCAGGTAGCTGAAAGCTCTGTCCAGCTTGACCTTGAACACTTCTACTTATGGGGCATCCACAACTTCTCTGGGCAACATATTTCTGTGTCTCATCACCCTCATTGTAAACAATTTCGTACTTATATCCAATCAAATCTACTCTTTTTCAGTTTAAAACCATTGCCCCTTGCTCTGTCCCTACAGGACAGGACACCAAGATATATCCGTTTATCTACATGCTCTCTACCTTCCCATCATTTTATATTTGAGCTACTACTAATCAAGAGCTGGGCTGGATTTTTAAAGCTGCTCTGTTCCCATATAGTCAAAGACCGTATTTCCAACACTGTTCAACCTATAGGGCACCAAGTGATTTTTAGAGGTGTGTTCATGACCGAGTGAAACCTTCTTGATGCCTTATGCTTCAGCACCATGAGACATTTTAGATAGCTTAACAAAATTCTCTTTGGAAAAAATCCCGCCTTGTTTGTGAGCATTAGGATGTACTCAAAGAGGCCTAGCATGGCTCAGTGAAATTACTGGAAATCTGTCGGCTTGAGAAGGAATGGGTTGGACTAAGAAATCTGTTGTGTGTTGGCTTTTTTATTAAGCTCCCACTTACTCTCCGGGTAGGTTCACTTCGTCACCAGGTGAAAATGCATTCCAGGTGAAGATCACTGCTCCTGATGAACAGTTCACTCGGGTTGGTGTGCAAGTGTTAGACAGGAAAGATGGTTCCTTCCTCGTGAGATACAGGATGTACGCAAGCTACCAAAACCTGAAGATAGAAGTCAAAACTGGAGATAAACATGTTGCACAGTCTCCATATGTTTTAAAAGGTAAGAGGCAGCATTACACACAGATTTCCTATCACAGTTTTTTCTCACAAACTGTGTGCCAGAATGTCTTCTTGGATAAGCATAGGATTCTTTGGGACCTCAGTACTTTTCTGAACTGTCAAATCCATTGGAATTATGGATTCATTATAAGTGTCCTACACATACTATTTAAAATAATAAAAAGAAGCAAATGCTGTGAAGCTGTTGCCTAGCAAATACATGGAGAGGGCTCACACAGAAGCTGATGTAGATTGACATGACTCCATTGAAATTTAAAAAAAAAATTCAAACGTCCATTCGGAGAGTTGCTGACTGCTTGGCCCTAAGCAATGAATGTTCAGTGCCTGACCCTCTTTTGTGATCTCAACAAGTCAATAGTATGATTTATTAAAAATAATAATTGTGTTCCTGATAGGACCTGTTTACCATGAAAACTGTGACTGCCCTCAGGAGGACAGCAGTGCGTGGCTGGAAGAGATGAACTGCCCTCAAACCATGCCACAGATTCAAAGAGACCTAGCAAATTTTCCCACTGTTGATCCAGATAAGATTGCAAAAGAAATTCCACAGAGGTTTGGACAAAGACAGAGTTTGTGTCACTACACCATCAGAGATAACAAGGTACGGAATGGGATAATCTGAAGTCCCTTTGGGAACTTGGTAGCAAATCATGCAACTGGGCAGTTTGGCTGTTCCCAGTTGTAAAAGCTTCTTTGCTTGCTTCTCTGTCCTTGAATACTTTGCAGTTTGTATATGAGCTCAGCAATATCTGTCCTGCTTTATAAGTGCTTCTTGTCCACATTGCAACTGAAGCAACTGCAACACAGCAAAGGTAAATTACTTTCCAGGCAATCAATATGAGTACTGGGCACACACCCAAGTCTCCTAAATGCTAATTCAGTTTCCTGTTCGCTGAGTAATATTGCTGTGCAGTATCACAGTCATCTAATTTGGAGTGCATTAATAAATTACATTGTGCATAGTTCTGAGGTAAGGAAATACCACTTTTAGTTCCACTGAGGATCAGAGCTACAATTCTTTTTAACAGAACTGTACTTCAGTAGAGTTTTATAGGGAAATGAGTACAATGGAACACAACAGAAATAGGCAACCAGTCTCTGTTTCCATGAAACAGACCTGGAATATTTTAAAAAGCAGGCAAAGCTTGTAATTTTTTTTTGTCAGTTTTCTGTGATGAGATTTCTAAAGCTTCCCAGCTGATTCGTAAATCTGTACAGCCATACAATCTGTCTGATTAGTTGCTAAGCAATTAGAAGAGCTCTAAATTGTGGCAGCCATTCTCTGAAATGAAAACACCAGGCCAATAAAACTTTTGTTTATTTTCAGGTTTATATAAAGACATATGGGGAACATGTTGGCTTCAGAATTTTCATGGATGCCATACTGCTTTCTTTGACAAGAAAAGTGAGTATATCTGCACAGTCATTTATTCTGTATGCCTCAATATGCCAGGTTTATAGAAACCTGGGCTTAACAAATACACTTCTGCATATTTGTTGCTGTATCTGTTAAAAAGCTCTTGTTCTTTCATTAATAATGGAAAGGTCAGATGGATTTTTTTTATTTGAAGATGGCATGTTCTAGAATGCCATCTGATCAGAGTATCACAAAAGTTAATTGAATAGCAGGCTTTTATAGGTGAGTTGATAAATCTGGACAGGTTGTGTTGGGTTTTATTTTCTGTAGACAAAATAAATCATCCTGTAGCATTTAATACAAAATTTGCTAGTACATTTTACAAGATGACTTAAAAAAAGTAGGACATGTATATCATCCTCCATTAAATTCAGTTGAGGAGGAGTACCACAAGCCCAGCAGGTGGTGTGTGGGGAAACTCCCTTGATTGTACAAGCAAAAAGCACCATGAAGACTCTTTCCTAGGGAAACTTTGGAAAAAACCTGACATGTACACAGTGACAGAATATAGCAGGGCTGAAGTTTCAGCACACACAAATATGTGATTTTTACATAAAATAAGTAGTGAGAGAAATATGAATATAGCCAACTTAATATCTGGTTTTGACTACAAAAAGGCAAAGTGCCTGGCCTTTTAAAAAGGGGAGAAGGAAGAGAGAGGAACTACTAAAGTATGGAGTTGTTCACCTAAAAACCTTTCTTCAAAATTTAATAAAAATAAACACAACATAAGTAGCTGAAAGATAAGGTAATTGGTATGAAACAACATGGATTTATCATGAAATATAAGTCATAGCACTCTAATTTCTTTCTATAACAAGGTAACAGTTTCCCTGTATGATGTCTTCATTTTAGGCTTTTGGGGTTAAGTCTCACAAGTTTCTCACGAACAACATGGAATTCTTTGCCTAGAAGAAACTAATGTAACCTGCTTGGAAAGCCTTACTTAAATAACTTTTGCCAGTGTTTCCAGAGATGTGAAAGGTGTCACAAACATACTTTTCAGAGATTTATCATAGATTCAGTCACCATTGAATAACTAGTTATATTTTGACTGAATAATGGACTAGAGAATATGCTTATTGAATTTTCAGATAGCAAAAACGAAAGAACCTGCAAGCACCTCATGGTACAGCATTATAACTTTAAATTTTCTTCACAAGTAAGAGACATTGTATGGAAAAATGGATAAAATAAAGTGCCAAGGGCAGGATACTACACAAAGGCTGGATAAGTGATATAGTTATGACAGCTATTTAAAAAGGAGGGAGTGGTAATTTTCTGCAGAAAAGCGTGAAGGTTTAAGGTATCACGAATAATGTGAGTCAACAGTGGCATGCTGTTGTGAAAACTAACCACACATATTAACACAACACATGAAAGAAAGGTAAAATAACCATCCTCAGGATGAGTAATGGATTGGTTATGCTACTCTGTCTGCCTTTGAGTGTCATGCTTTAAGAAAGATTGCACAGGAAAATGGTAAGAATGACTAGACATACAAATGAAAAATCATTTAAGTGGAGATTGTTTAACAGTTTCTAAGAGAAGATGTCAATGTAGCCTTTAATTATCTAAAAGGTTGCTCCACAGAAGATGAAAGTAAACTGTTCTTGGTGTCAGTAGTCAGTAGAAATAATGGAATTAAATTGCATCTATGGAATTTAGGCTGAACATTGAAGAAAAATTGCTAACTCTGGAGACAGAAACTGTTTACAGATCTAGAAGACACAGTTTGTCTTATCAGAAATTTCTATCAAGACATTGTCACTGAATGACAATACATCTTTTGGTTGGAGAAGAAGATATAACCTGTTGAATGATTCTGCCATTGAAGATGTAGATAAAATACAATTTGTATGGGTTTGTGCCCATTATAACCATTAGATGGCACTGTGCTAATGAAGTTTAGTGCTGAGGATTAGAATGTGTAGCAACTCCCACGGAAGGTACACAATGAAACCTTTTCTGTTTGTCTGTGTACTGAAGGCAAAAAGTACTGCTTTGGGTATCTGCCTCTTCCCGTGTCGTCGGGTTAAAGAAGAATATCTTCCAACCATTTAGGGGAGTTTTTATATTTGCCAAATTATTAACTTCTTTTGCTTTGAAAGAGGCAACTGAGGGGGATGTAGTAGAGATTTATGGTTTTTTTAAAAAAATTAAGAGAGTGAACTGAGATACAACCCGAGTTCTACACTGACATTATAGGTACCTTCAGGTTTCTGTAAAACACAGCCATATGTCATCTTTTGCCTTTTGCTCTCCAGACTGAACTGTCCTACTGTTTTCAGATTTTCTTCACAAGGCAGCTGGTCCTTTCTTTAGAAAAGTATAAAGCTACCTTTCTTTGTACCTTTTCTTACTTCACTTGCAAATACCCAAACCACATGCAATGCTTAAGATCGGGGTGCATCACAGTTTCATATAGCTGCAAAATTATGCCCTCTATCCTGCTTCCTGGCCATCAACAGTATTTTGCTTGCTTTTTAGCTGTGATAGTGATTCAGCAATGGTTTCATACTACAAAATATTTTAAATAAGTGAGGGTGTTATGCTTAATAATTAACCCCAGCTCTGACTAAATGTGGTCTTCCCATCATAGCTGGTCATTTCTGTTTCTTCCATTGGATTTAGGCATCCTGCAGACACAAGGTGAATCAGTTCACTGATGTGACAGAAAACTAATTTACCACCCAACAGCAATATCCCATATAGTAACAAGGTGGTTCACCTTACCTTGGAACTATACAATTGCTTACTAGGTCCCAGTGCTAGCCTGATAAAAAGATTGTGTGGCCAATTATGTAAAGAAACCAGCTTCTAAAAAGGGAGCATTTTTGTGACTTTGCACAAATCTTTTTTTAAAAAAATATTATCTCGTAGGCTTTACTCTGTGGTCTCAGTACTTCTAACATGTTTCTAAAGTCTAATGATGTACTACAAGTATATTAAGTATATTAGACACCTGGTTATTTTTTCCTCATGCTTTCAAAATGCAAGATGGCAGCAGAAGAATACTGCTTTGTGTTAAATTGCACTTGTGCCTAATTTGCTTCTGTTTAGGTGAAAATGCCAGATGTAGAATTTTTTGTTAATTTGGGGGACTGGCCTCTGGAGAAAAAGAAGTCCCCACAGAACCTGCACCCCATCTTCTCGTGGTGTGGGTCCAATGAGTCAAAAGATATCGTTATGCCAACATATGACTTAACAGACTCAGTTTTGGAGAGTATGGGACGGTAAGAAATTGCTTAAACTTTCCACAAAATTCACAGTGAATGATTTTCCATAGAGATATGTATATTAACAGTGTATTAACTGTTTCCATTTATTCATTGAGACAATGGCATGCTGCAGGTAGGCAATAACTGTGTAATCAATATGTTAACATTATAGTTCACTGTTTTATTTAAAAAACCAAAACCAATAGCAGTTAGAATGTTTCAAGGGTAGTTATTTGGTTTGTTTGCTTTGTTTCTCCCCACATGAACATATTGATGACTAGCCAGCTGTCTTTTTTTCCTGATTTTGTTAGAGTCCTTTTTTCTGTACCTTTAAAATCCCAACATGGCTAGAATTCTTGAACTAGGAGCTACCATCTCCCATGTTGATTACTGATCATAATTAGGCTTGGCAACTGCTCTGTTGTTGTCCTGAAATACTGCCAAGCCAGCTTCTAAGAGATCTCTGTAATCCATCTTGCAACTGTTTATCATTTCACTGCATTTAGTTCTGGTTCCTTTTTTTATTATCAAGACTTTCTCTAAACTTGCTACCTTCTGCCCTCCCAGTTTATGTGTTTTAATTTAGCAACGTTTTTAAGGAAGTGAAATATGCTGTATTAAGCAAGTTACTTTACCCTGCATCACTTTCACCTGTTTTGAAAACATATCCACTTTTACCTGCTTTTTTCCATGACAATTGCCAGGTACTCTTTCCCCATGCCATGTTGTTGAACTGATGCTGTCATGCCACACGTCTGTGAACTTAACATTTGTTATCTGTTTTTATTGCTGCAAAATACTGATACAATACAGATCATGGTGTGCTCATGACTTACTTTCCTCCTTAGTTGGTACTGTGAACTCTTTGAAGTAATTGCACTTAAAAATATTTCTAGCAGGCTTCCCTATTAAATCACTTCTTTCTGCTCCAGAGTCAGTCTGGATATGATGTCAGTTCAAGCAAACACTGGCCCATCGTGGGAAGACAAGAACACCACAGCATTCTGGAGAGGACGTGACAGCCGCAAAGAGAGGCTTGAGCTTGTAAAACTCAGCAGAAAATATCCAGAGATCATAGATGCTGCTTTCACAAACTTTTTTTTCTTTAAACATGATGAAAGCCTCTATGGCCCTATTGTTAAGCACATTTCATTTTTTGATTTTTTTAAGGTAAGCCACTAACCATTTTTCATAGAACTAGGTTCTCAATGTTTCCCATTATCGAATAACTTAGCATGTATTATTGATAATAAAGTGGTTTTTAGTTTTTCAGGACAACACCAGTAACAAGCATGAATAGACATCCCTCCAGGGAGATTAACTGCTATGTAGCTCTTACACTGAAGATGATAATGTCTGATTTACGTCTAAAGGTTCTATAGAACCTTATGTAATCTATATAACTTCAAGTTCCTTTTTATTTCTTTTTCCTGATTCAGCGATCAGGACTACTAACATAACTAACATAGTGGGAAAATCGGTGGATGAAGTGGCACATCTACCCTCACATCAGAGGATGAGCGTCTAAGAATTCCCGGAGAACTTAACTGATGAAGAGGGCAGCTCTGTGTACCCTGCACTGTGATGAATTCCAAACTAAATAATAAAAGCTACTTAGACATTGATGCTTGCCTAGCCAATCCTACATGTCTCAATATCGGCAAGTCAGTAACACCAGTGCCCTCAGAATAATATAATCTAACCAAGCCACTGGGATCTTGTGTTTGTTAATAACGTATGGTCCTTTTCTTTCCAGTATAAATATCAAATTAATATTGATGGCACAGTGGCAGCATACAGATTGCCTTATCTACTAGCAGGAAACAGTGTGGTGCTAAAGCAAGACTCCATATACTATGAGCATTTTTATAATGAGCTGCAGCCGTGGAAACATTATATTCCATTTAAAAGTGACCTGAGCGATCTACTAGAAAAACTACAGTGGGCAAAAGAGCATGATGAAGAGGTAAATACACATTTAGAAGTGCTCATTAATGTTTCTAGAAGAGAACAAAAATTGCATTTCTTTAAAACAAACAATAAAACCTATTAGAAGAACTTAAAAATTATTTTCAACTCCACAAATAAGAAAAACACTTGAAAAATACATAATACTGCCCTTAATTTGAAATTAAACTTTGCAAAAAATTGAGAACATTTTCATAACAGTGCCTTAACATTTAAATTAAAAATACTTATTTAAGTTATCCTAAACTCTCAACAGCATACTTAACTCCATAACCAACACTGGCATCCTGAAATAAATATTAGTTTTGGGGAATAATAAAAACCCAAAACAAACCTTTTATTTTTTTTGACAGGCAAAAAATATTGCAAAATCTGGACAAGAATTTGCAAGAAACCATCTCATGGGAGACCACATTTTTTGTTACTACTTCAAACTTTTCCAGGTCGGTATATTTTTAATGGCTACTGGCACAAAAATAGAAATCACAAAGAAAGAATTCAGGGCAACGGAGCTGCTGGAAATTGGCCAGCCCAATACTTGAAGCCACAAAGCAAGCATCAGCAATTAAAATCTTAATTTGGTTTACAAACGTATTCAATTATATCCTGTGAAACCCCATTTAAGACTATGGTGATGTGATGCTTTGAGAAGCAGTCAGATCCCATAAATCGTGATCTAATCTGCAAGAATATGTTGCCCACAATGATCAAAGAATTCCACATCAGATGCACACCCTGTGAACCACAGCTGAAAATATCTGTGCATTAGCACCAAGGTACTGAAACTCCAGTGAGGCACCCGAAGGGGCTCCCTTCTGCAGTTAAGTATCTGCTTACCCTGTGACACAGTGTGGAGTAACAGATTGTGTACCCCAGAGTTTTTAGAGAATTACTCAGCTGAGTTGGTGCAGTATTTATGGCCAGACATACAATCTAACAACTTTATGAATTAACAATACCTTTATTTTTTTTAAACTAGGAATATGCCAGCTTGCAAGTGAGCGAGCCAAAAATCAGAGATGGAATGGAGAAGGTGCCACAGCCTGATGATGACCTTTTCCCATGTACTTGCCACCGAAAAAAGGTACGGTACATGCAGAGTTAAACATGAAGTGCTAGGTGTCTTCAGTTCTTGTCAACTTCCCTGGGAGAGGCCTGCTCAGTGCCCCTGGTATCAGTTAACAGGCCAAGCCATTAACACCTATCAAACTTAGAAATGTTTCTTGATGTATTTGCAGGACTAGACAGTGAAAAATTGAGCTTCCAGTTAACTGAAACACATTTCTTCTTTCTTGACTGCAGGCCAAAGATGAACTCTGACAGAAAGGAATTAATTAATTTTTTCAGTATTTGCCTACATTCAGACTGTCTTCTTAAAGAAAGAAGAAAAATTTGAATTAATATGCCAGTGGATAATGTCAGTGGATATTATGAAGTTTACCATATAATGATCAAGATATGGAAGAAAACAAAGTACCTCCTATTTCCTTTTTATTATGTGGTGGTGGCAGAATCTTGTTCAAACACATTTTTATAATTTTTTTTTAATAAAAAACATGTTTGTTATCAGTTATGTGTTCCTGTCCTGAGTTACCTTGGAGATCCAGATACTTCTTAGTCATGCTTGTTATACTGAATCTTTTCAGAAGTATGTTCTGCAAAAAAGGGCAGATGAGAATTGTACATTTGCTCCCCACACACATATCTACCCAAAGGCTTCTTTTTCAGACCATAACCTTGATCCTTCTGAGAGAATCAGTATTCTCAAAGTTAGGGGTGTGGGGTTCATAATAAATCTTGTTAACCTGAAGGAAAAACACAATTCATATATTGCTGTAAGCTTTGGTTACACCAGCAAGTTAATTATAGCCCATAATGGGGAAGGCTGCAGCTGCCAGCACACAGGAAGTGTTTCATCTGCTGTGCAATGTCAGAGCTCAGACAAGGACTTGAGTTCCCCTTGCTAATGGGTAATGAGGTCCAGACCCTGGCCTGCCTCTTTAGAGTCCTCCAGAGAGAAGTCTTGTGCAGCAGGTCACACTGGAAGCAGAACCGCTTCCTGCTCCAGGAGCTCCTCCTTTCCTATAAACACAATTTGTTGTTCATCAGTATTTATTAGAGGGCCTCTGTGATCAGTCCTTTACACAAAGGACGTGTCTGGAGGAGACTGTTCAAAACTGTAACCCACATTCTTTGATCCACTGCCCAGCTGTGCCTGCATTACCTCCTCCTCCCCACGCAGGCCCACAGTCTGGCTCCCTGAGGTGGCGACACTAAACCATGAGAGACTCCTCTCAGCACCTGGGAGTGGAGGATGTGGGACCAAGGCAGGGTAGTACACCAGGCTCGCCAGCCTCAGGGGATGTGCTGGTAGAATTCTACAAATCAGTAGGTTTTAATTGCAAGCAAGTACAGCATCAATGATGTACTCAGAAATTGAAGGTACCTAAAGATATGCTGTCCAAGTAGATTTTTTTCCAGTATATTACTTCAAATATTAGTCAAAAGCATTTACTTAGTGCTCTCATTCCTAAGTGTTGTATATGGTTAATTGCACAGAAACACAGAAAAAAGTGCTGCCATGATACTAAATATTTTCTGTCCTTCAAGAAGTTCTTTATTGTTTTGCATATTTTTTTAATTCATACAAAGCTTTATTTGCATTTGCACTGAGACCTGTGAAAAGATCTGTTTTAAAAAATATGCCTCTCAAAAATAACAAACTCTTAATTTGCCATATTTAGGAAAAACTATATGAAGAAACTGCTTAAACACTGCAAATTATTTGTGCTCCAGTTCAACATTCTCTTTAAGCCATGAAAAAACTTGTGCATTTATTTCTTCCATGACATCATCTGTTGTTCGTCCTTTGACTGCCATCCCATGGTTAGCTTTATCAATCCAATGGATTTTCTTGGGGGCTTTCATTTTGCTTGCCACACCTTCTAGCAATTGCTATGGAGAAAATAAGAATTAAAAAGTTAGAGAATCAGCTGCTACAAACTGCAACTCCTAGATGTCTCTCATTTTGCCTGTGTAACGCCTCATAGGCAGCTCTTAAAAACAAAATGGATTTGTGTGCACATGAAAAACACCTTGATAGGAAAAGGGGATGTATTCTGTATTCAGGATATGAATGCTGTGCTCAGCAATGGGATCTGCACAAAGGTCCACCCTCACTCAAACACAGAATAGCAGCAAATTAAAACTTCAAAAACTGAAAAGGTCACAACCCTGTGCAGGCACCTTCCCCACACTGACAAAGGAATCCACTTCTACTGTCAGAGGGTAGTGCTAGCAATAAAGATAGAACTTTCTAAGTCAGATTTGTCTATAGGGCTGAACAGCAATATAATTCCTTAGGGACTGGCTTTGATGTTGTTGCACTTTCTCAGCAACCAGATCTAAGAACCAGTTCAGAAACTCTTAAAGATTTATGCATTAAGAGGGCACTCCAGGGATCTGCCGGTTGCTAGCCGGACTTATTTTGGTGACAACTCCTCTCAAATGCACTATGACTCCTTAGAAGCTGTCCAGGCATGGAAAATGCCAGTTGGACACACTCCCAAAATCAAGCTGACCTGTTCAAGAACAACAGATACTTGTTTGCAGGAAAATGAGGCAGAAAACCACTGTGTGCTCACCTCTGCACACCTGCTCTTCATCTCTACAAAAATATCACTTTCTGCTACAGAAGCCTGATTTGTGAGCCAGAACTGCTTTGCTAGAAGAATTTGTCATGAAAACGTGACAAATATGAAATTGGTAGTGCAGTACAGCATATATGTTTTGTAACCTGAAATAGTTAAAACAAAATAGCAACTCACTCCTTCCACGGGCCACTTTTAATTTGTACAATAAAAAACACTTAAATCTGCAGTATTGCAGTGGCCCAAAGATGAGTTAGCTAAAGTGGAAGATCAAGCGTGATCCATAGGTTTTAAGCAGCAAAGGAAAGCACTACCAGGCTTCCTTATGTCCAGCAAAGTCCACCCAAGGCTTCCTTCAGAAGCCCTATATCTAGAGAAGGCTGTAATCAGGTGCACCATACAGATGTCACTCTGGCTCATTTTTACTCCTCCAGACTGCCTTTTCATGGCAGGATTTACAAGGGTACTCACTTTTTCACACATCTCATCTGCTGATCCTGAGACAAATAGCACTGGACAGCTGATAAATAATAAATCTTCATCCCGGAGCTTGGACTGAAGTTTTGGTCGATGCAATGGGTAAGATAAACATATGAGACCTCGAATGAAGTCATCATCATCATCATCATTCTGGCTAAGCTGACGTATCAGAGAGGCAGCAGCTCGTGAGCCCATGGAACGGCCTTTCTCCCATGTAGACATAAAGGAAAAAAGTATATCTGCTGTCACCTCATTTGCATTCTGCTTGAGTAAACCACTCCTAAAAACAATCCAACTGAGTGTATATCAGTGTACCAGCAGTATGAAATGCTAGTGATGCTTTTATTCTTTTATTCCATGAAAAATATTAACCTTAATTTCAACATTTTCTGCTAAAATAGTTGTCTAATTATATTATGATTTCATGTACCCATTTAAAAAAGAAGGGAAAAAGAAAAGATAAATGAAGAAGGATCCTTTGCAATACTGGAAGGATACAGCCCATCCCGGGGCAGGGGGAAGAGAGGGATAGGTCCTATGCTCTAGAGCCTTGAAATTTGAGATAGCCATTATATAATCTTATATAATTCTTTTCATGCAACTCCAATCTGCTCAAATTAAAACAAAGTTCTATGCACCTTATTCCCAAAACCAAACCAGCAAGTGTTTATGCACACCTCAAACTTCAACCTAAAAGTAAAAGTAAAAGGGGAAAAAAAAGATTAAGTGTGAACTTGTAGCACGGGGTCAGTCAGTAACAGCAGGGGAATATCAAAGCATCTCCTCAAAGACAAGGCATATGAGCTGACAATGCTCTGTAATTGAGTGTTACAAGTGGCTGATTCCAGTGGGATTAACTTGCATCAGCACAGATTTTGTTGCACTTAGTCAGAGAACATTTAGAATTTCCCATATCAAGTTATTCCTAATCACCCCATCTACTGCCCTTTTCACATAATATAGCTTTTTTTTATTTTATCTGCCACTAGGTTTTAACTACCAAAACGTGTTTTGGGAAAACTGTTTTCCATTTACCAGTAACTAGAATTCTTCAAGACCTGCAGTTAAAAAGTACACATGGATTATCAAAAAACTCATGCCCTGTCACTTTTAAGTGATAAGTAAGTTTTCTCCCAAAGTACCTGGAAAATGCAATCTGTTGCTCTTTCCTTCCTCCTCTACAGCAAGATCTGTGGCATAGTGAGGAAAGTGAATAGATCTAGACAGCCATGCTCTCGAGAATCTGACGGAAGCAGCAGGCTGAATGTTCCCACTGGTGACCTGAGCAGCAGTGCTGCTCAAGCCAGCTGCACACACGCCCTGCACACCCACCAGCTCCAGGGCTGGTCACATTCAGCTCCAGGGGAAGACCCCCAAATGCAGATCTGTAAGTGGGCTTGGCACCCATGTTCCCATGGCAGGCAGAGGGCTGCTGATCCACTAATGAAGGTTACAGAGCATTAAACTGTCAGCTCTGCCCAGCTAACCCACTACTGGGAGGTTATTCAGCTTGTTCCAACATCAGACTGAAACCTGTCATCCACATCTGTTTGTTCACTTCTCAACAAAGTGGGATAGACTTGGAATAGTTACAGACTGCTATTACTGGAGACAGTATAAGAGAGAAAAATATTGATAATAAAAACAATACCTGCAAGGAAGACGCCATAAAGTTTATAATCATCAGAAAGTTTTAAGTATTCCTAAACAAATAAGATAAAGAGAAGCATTACAAGTCAGAATTACGACAGCTGGGAAGCTGGAGATTTCTTCTGTTTGTAGCTACTAAATACAAAATGGGAAGCTCTTTTAGCACTTCAGATTAAAAAAAAACCAGACACATACAAGTTGCTCTCTTGGTTTTTTCACACAAATGGTTTCATAACATTTTGCAGCAACGACATAAACATAATTGATTTCACATTAGCTCTCAGCTGCCCTATCAAGTTACCAAAACACGAGTGATTACTGTGTATTAACTTAGTGTAGTAACAGAGGCCATGCACACCCATGGCCCATCAAAAGGAAAAATAAGTTACCAAAAATGCCCTTCATTCGGATCATGTATTTCCAATTACACATTTGAGACACGATCATTTAAGTCTGACAGAAAAGATAAAATTCAGCAACAACTTTTTCAGTTTTTAGGAGATAACTAATCAGATGCTATCTTAGCAGAGACCTTTAAATTACCTTTACACAGCAACATATTAACATAAACTCACTAACAACATTGTGCT